TGGGTGTTCATGACACTGCAGGGCCATTCGCCGCGCCCAGGGACCTGCATACCGGTCAGTTCATATACGTCGACTGCACGGAGGAGGAGAGGGCCATGCTGCCCACGACCATCGGCTCACAGTTCGAGGCGGAGCGTGCTCTGGCCGAGCTGAGGAGCGTGAGTCGCGTCGTCGGTGACCCGCGTGATTCCGAGGAGTACACGTATTGGGAGACATCTTCGCATGACACTCTCGCCTACGCCTTTTACAGCGTGCCGGATCAGTACAGGAACGTCCCAGCAGTGAAGTCCGCCTCGCGTACCTTTGGCCAGATTCCCGACGGCCAGCTCGTGCGACCGGACAAACCGGAGCCTGCTGTTCTCCGCCTCAGCGCGGTGAAGGGCACTGAAGACACCCGGCGGAACCTCGAGAAGCTGAAGGAGGAGCCCATCAAGAGTAATATGGTCATCCTCGGCGCCAGGAGAGGCGAAGATATCGCCCCCAGGATCGGAAACACGATCGCTACTCTGTGCGCTAAGGTCGGGGATAGATGGGAGTGAGATCCAGAGCAGGACCTATCCTCCCGACCAGGAGTGACCCTGACCTGATGATCCAGGCCATTGTTCCCGCACCCGAGGAGCTTCTGGATTACTTCGCCGACGAGATCCGTCAGAAGGTGGGGAGTAGGACGGGCGCCTCTTCGCACTACTACAGGAGAGCATGCGCGTGGAACAGCCGTGCAGCCTGGAAATGCAGGCGCGGTCAAGGACCCAGAATTGGAGGCCTCGTCTGCCAGTGGGCAAGGGAACGTCACTTCGGTGATACAACTGAAGAAGTTCCTGAGCCACTACTTCGGGACCAGCGTCGAGTCTGAGGATGCCTTTTCATCGTACCTCTTGTCTTCTTTCCTCGAAGACGGGGTGGGAATGTTCGAGATCATCATCACCGTCATTCGTGACAAGGAGCGTCGATTGCTGCCTGGTTCCGCCCGCATAGCGGCGGTAAGGTCGCTTGAGATCGGATCCGACACTGATTACCGAGCATTTCGTGAACGATATCAATACATGCTCTACGAGAGCCCTGTTTGTCTTCCTATCACATCTAAGGTGGTTCCCAAGACACTCTACAAGGTGGTGCCTCTCCGGATGTATCCTCTCCGGGCGATCATTCGGGGTGGCGAGCTCTGATTGAGCTCCTTCCCTCCAGGCCGGATGAATATCAATCCTCCGCGATCACGGTGAATGCCCCAACGACACTGTCGACCGCATCACTGACAGCAATGTGACGGAGCTGCACACGAGCTCTGGATTGACGCCTCCTTCCATCCAGGCCGGATGAATATCAATCCCTCCGCGATCACGGTGAATGCCCCAACGACACTGTCGACCGCATCACTGACAGCAATGTGACGGAGCTGCGCACCTCAGGTCGACGCACGTTTCTTCTCCATGGAAAATGGGGGCATGCATATTACTCGTCAGGGTACCTTCGCGATCGGGTACTGGAGATGCGTCTACTTCAAGGAGGACTGCTCCATCATTTACTTGAGGCCTTGGTGCTATCCGCCCAACTTCCTCAACTCCGTGAGTGAGAACCCGAGGAAGTGTCGGGACGAGATGGAGAAGTATCACCAGATCACCAAGGCGGAGCATGTCCGCGAGGTGCTGTCCGTTCCATGCCATAGGTGCATGACGGCCCACCCGATCGGCGCTCACCTCTGCACCGCCTGCTACCTTCCCTTTTTTTTTTGTATGAGGGCGTCCTGCCCACCGGAGACACGAACGGCGGCCCTCGCACGATAGCGAGCACCGACGGGGTGATTCCCACCTGGCTGGCGAAGTACGGGGGCGTCGTCCCCGCTCTGTGGAACAACGCAGACGCCAACGCCATCGGAATGGCCCTCTACTCACAGAGTCCCGCCGTTGATGCCCGGTCCTTGCTGATGTCTGGGATGCGACCTCCTAAGTACCTCGACAAAGAGGACGTGGACGGCATTTTCCGGAAACTTCACGACTCGCTCCGAGACGAAGTTCTTGACGGCAAGTACCGTGACACTGTTGACCACAATGTGGAAGAGTGGGTCGCAAAGGCGATCTTGGTGAGAGGTCTTGCCTTCAACGGGAGCTCCGTCCCCGACTTCTTCGAAGAATATGAAGGATATGCGGCTGAGTGGGGCAGACGCCTAACCACCGCAAACTTCAACGCCAACCGCTGTGGCTTTTACACGTCTTACTATATGGTCGAGGCCCATATCATTGGGCTGAGATCAGGGCACCTTTCTCCGATACTCCCCAACGATGTGTCCGGGGAGGCGTTCAAGGCCCAGGTGGAACTGCTCGCACAACACTGTGGGATAATGCAAGCCATGCGGAGGAAGGCCGGATTCGATCCCGCCGCGCGTCTCAAACAGGCTATGGACACGATACGGGAAGGCATAAAGAAGGGCTACGTCTACACGCTCAACGACCTCAGCAGTATGGATGAGCTGATCTACCGGACGTCCACCGTTGCCTACGACACATGCCTGGCCGACCGTCCGCAGACCCAGGACGACATCAAACAGGAGCTGGCCGATCCTGTACCAAGGAAATACCGCTTCCGACCCCGCGATCGCCATCGGCCCGGAATCCGCCTTACACCAGGCCCCGGCGTGAAAGACGAAGATGAGCCCGACTTTGCTGGATCAGCGGAGGATGAGCTGGGATCGGATGGATCTTCGCACAAAGATGACGAGAAGCCTCCTGTCCCGGTAGAACCGGAGACTCCCGTGGTGTCTCACACAGGCGTCGGTTCTGGCGAAGCTGTGCCACTTCCTCCTCCTCCTCCCCCCGCTCCCATTGCTGCGGGCGTTACAACGGCTGGGGATCCGTTTGAGGAAGAGGACATGGCCGTCAATACCCGTGTCCCTGACAGTCCGAGCTGGAGGGTGACACCGACCAACCCAAGGCCAGGAGGACATCTCGTGGTCGGGTCCCTGCGCCCGAAAAAGGGCAGAAAAAGGGGGGCGTTCACGTCCCGCCTGGCGGGCAACCCAGCTCTAAGAGCATGGCCCAGCCTGCCCGTCCGTCCCCGGTCCCCGCGAGAAGCGGTGCGGAAGGGGGGGAGAGAAGGGGCAGAACCAAGGGGTTCTACACCCAGAAGGATCCTTTTACCGGCGAGGATGCGACTCCCCAGGTTCGTCTTCGATCGGGCGGTCCCGGAACCCCTGCGTCCCCACCACGGGAGGCCACTGGTTCCTTGGGCGGCCGTGGCGGCTATGACCCGCGCGATGACGACGACGAAGAATGGGAGCTTCCCCCGGGCGTGCCTCGGACCACTCGTGCGGCTAATGAGTCACGGCCCCACCGAGATGACGATCGATCAAGGACCGCGCTTGGGGCCCGCGAGGATTGTCGCGGCCCTAAGGGTGAGGGGAGGGTCGAGGAAAACATCGACCTGGCAAAGCTGGACGCGAGGATCCTGGCCCGCCCCGACAAAGGGATGATCGTGGCAGGGATACCCGCGGAGGCCGACGCGATGATCGCCGACCTCCTCCACGTCATGAGGAGCCCTCCGAGAGGCGCGGTCCGGGGCGAGATGAGCGCCGCGGACGTGATGACCCGGCTGATGACCGTCGCGATCGCCACCGGGACCGGCGCAGGGATGACCGACGTCACCAATCAGATCCCCCTCCGCCTCGCCGACATCCGGCTGGCGACCACAGTAGGGGTGGTGGTGAGGATCGCCGTCGGGATGGAGGAGGCGATCGAGGTGACCGCGGTGGACGTCGGAGAGATGACGCACCCAGAGACCGGGAAGAACCCGGTTCAGGGTGGTAGGCAGGTACCGCAATCAGCATCCGCCTTAGAAGGGCGAGGATGGCACGTGTGTCGCCGAAAAACGCGACCGCGCCGATCCTCCTCTCGCCCATGCGGCACTGCTGGGGGTGATGGTCTCCATTGCCCTGTACCGCTGATCCGGCGTTGTTCGTGTTCCTCCCGCACCGCTGCCGTGCGCGCTGGAGACGGTTCCCCTGGCGATCCTGTGTGAGGCTGTGACCGCACTAGAAGTGCCGGGCCGGCCGTAGCCGGATATTTTTCACACCAATTTCGGAACGTCCTTTTCCTTTGTCCTCCCAACTCGGTTACTCCTCCAACCACATTACGGCATGCAGTGAGGCGCGGTGATCCAGATAGGGTCCCCCTCCGCATGTTGCTGTCCCATGACAATGCATGAACGGCACGAGAGGAATCTTCGTCTGGCTCCTCCAATATGTCCTTGTTCACTCATGTGGCCCACTCGTCAAATAATCCTGTCGCCCCGCTAATTCGGGGTGGTGGCGGGATTTTAACTGGGGCCCGGGTGCTGCCGTTTGGCTCACCTCTGAGTTGACACTGGCATTTTTGGTTGGTTCCTTTCGTCGTGAACTCAACTGTCTCGCATCCTTTCTCTCGTCCAGATATCGGATGAGGGGGGTGTGTTTTGTTCACGTGTTGTTTCTTCATATGGCAAAACGGCCGAATGGCCGTTTGGCTCAAGTTTAACCTCCCGTCAGGTTAGTTTTGGTAGCACGGCGCTCGCCATAGCACGGCATCTCGCTGCGTCGCCGGGAAAGGATTCTCGGCGCTGGGGTGGGCTGGTGCTAGGAGGTAGGTGGTGCTGCGGCAGGACTTGCCTGGGCTTGGTTAAGGTGATCTATTGTAACTCGCTGTTTAACCTTCACTTCCACCACTACTACTTCAATCATCACGTCCTTCAACCTGGTCATCGGCTTCAGTCCACTGAGTCGTGAGTCCGGGTTCTTTGGGTTCTTCGTGGATTACGTGAACCCTTTTGATTCCCTGGGCAACGCCCTTTCCGCCCAAAACCGCAGAAAGCATGCGAGAGTGGCGGGGTGCGGCTACGTCCTGTTTGATCCGCCTTATTCGACGACACTCTCATTTCGTTTATAGGCAGTGTCTTGGCAACGCTGACGGCGTGAGGCCCCTTTTCTTTGCAGCTTGAGCTGGGCCGCTGTTTGGATCACTTTGCATCGCTCCCAGGAGGCCCAGCAACAGCTGGAGGCGCTGCAGAAGGGGCAGGCGGTGGAGCTGGTGGTCAAGACTGTCAGCTTCATATGAGTGCGGACGCTCCGGGCGCCGGTTGAGGTTTCACGAGCCCCAACAAAGCGGCAGGTTGAAGCGGTTGAAGATGAAATGAACACCTGACGTACAACAATGCCGATGAACGCGTATAAGCCCCCAACCGCCCCAGCTTGTGCTCGCGCCCCATCAAGCAGCTCTTGGGACCTTATCACAAGTTTCCATGTAAAGCGCCTTGGGCCATGCTGGTTCAACCATGGGCGCTGCGTGGCGCTGCTTGATCGCAGAGTGTGGATTTGAAGAGTGCGTCCTTTCAGACTTTGGCCACCCTTAGGAGACATCCGGAGGTCTGGTTGTCAGCATGGCCCAGTGACTCATCCAATAGTGAGAGTTTGGCAATCGGCGCATATGCGCGCACCCTTGCTTGAGCCTCGGTCGGCGATTGCCTGCCGGAGCCTGAGATTGCTCAGCGCTGGCCACAGCCGACCTCGTGCTAAAATGCTGCCGGCCATGTCACGAGCGGCGAGTCGATGAGGGTGTGCCCCTTTTTACAGGTTTGCTTAGAGGAAAGCAGGGGAATCCAAAAAGAACCTGTTTGGAGGGTTCCCCTGCCTTGAGAGAAACCCATTTGATGGCCTTTTGGCGGTCTTTTCTGGGTTATTGTTAAACATTTGCTGGTTCCCAGCAGAAAAATGATGGAAGTGACCCCACACACAAGCGCCGTCCCTGGTCAGCTTAGTCTGTCACAAGATTAACTGCCGGAGGCAAGCAGGACTCATTTGACTTTGGCAACTGCAGGTTGCCAAGGCGCACAGTCCTGTACGATGGACTGCATGCAAAGGCGTCTTGGTCAACGGGTTGTGTCACGGAAGGCCTAAGCAATTCCCTCGAAACCCGCCTAGGTCAAGCATCCTTTAGGGGGAGGGTCTGATTGCTTTGTTCAGAAGCGCATGTTGTTCGAGAATGGGGCTTCTGAACTAGGGAACTACGTGATGTTGGGATGTAGGTCTGTCTCAAGAATCCCATTTAGGTGCGTTTCTAAGGGTAGCAACAGCAAACACCTGGCCTGCGGCGCAAGCAGACAGCTCTTTGATACTGGCTGCTTCTTCTTGTGAACTTTTGCGACCCGCGCCCGGGCAATGCAGCCAAAGCCTTGGATTATGGCACATCAGCCGCTACGTGCTGCAGACTCAGGGGCAGGCAAGCGGATGCACTTTGGAAGCTGCGTTGCGCACGCTGCGTGCATTGTCTTGTCCACAGCCCCAGACTGGCACGCAGAGAGTGACTCAAGCCATGGGGCAGCTTCCGATGCAGGCTCAGACTTGATACCTTGCCACATCTGCTGCCAGCATTGCCTTCTCAGTTCAGCGCTGACGTTGGTTCCGTGATGGCAACTTTCAGCTCCGTCTCGGCAAGAAGTTCTGGGAAGCGCAGCTGCTTGGCGGCGCCTGGGCCCGATGGCTTCCGCGCCTGTACTTCCATCGCTTCAAAGACTGCAGATCGCCAGCCAAGATCCTTCCGCAAAGTTTCCCTCCAATCAGCAGTGCTGCTCCCAATATCCATGCTCACGAGTGTGAGGGCTCAGTTGAGCCCACATTTGTTTTGGCGCGTTGCCGTGAGAAAAACGCCAACGGCTTCCAAGTCTCAGGAGCAAGATGCAGCTTCGATGAAGAAACCGCAGGGCATAGCTTGTCCCCAAGCCAAGAGGCGTCAGCCGCAAAGTGTCTCTTAGCAAGCCATTGAGAGTTAACTTCGAGCACCTTGCCTGGACTTGGTGTCCAATTGTGCCTTAACTCTTAACCGCCAAATGGGTGCGATCTGTCAAAGTTGTCGAGCGGGGCGAAAGCGGGCTGCATTGACATGATGGGCTGGAGTTTGGGAGCGCGCTCCGCATTGCATGCAGCTCGGAGGCTGCGAGCCGTAGGTTTCGACGTTCGGGGAGTTTACCTTCTGGATTACCGCGCCCCACCGGCAGTGCCGACGTTAATACCGGTGTCACCATCCAATGTGTGCTGTGTGCTTCAGTATGTGGACTTCATGCGGCGCTTCCGGGCCAGCCTGCCTGTCATTGACTTGATGATGCAGGCCTATGATTGAATATGCGCTTCCTGGAGACCTTGGGGAGCGCTGGGCAAGTGACTGCTCTGAGCTGCGATCGAGCTTTCCAGACTCAGGCCGCGTGACGCTGGCGATCGATCACCATTGGACATTGTCAACATCGAAATGAGCAGCGCGCTAATTCTACCCGCATCGCATGGCGTTTGGTGGCGGTGAGTTTCCACTTCAGCGAGTCAGCGTAACAGGGGATGCTCGCAGGTGCATTTCAACTGAATGAGAGCCAGTCCAGATCAGCCAACGTGGCTTCGAATGCTCCAGGGTCTTCTCCCTTGGCCAGGGAGGCGCTGTTGCCGAAACAGGCGGCCAGGATGCCAGGTTGCGCAGTCTTGAGTCGCGTCCCAGCCTAACTCCGGACAGCTTGCAAGGTGTGGGACCTGCATTCATTGACTCATAGTACTGGCAGGCCTCAAACACATGAAGGCCCCAAAGGGGCGGCTTGCCAATATTCCGTGCTAAGGGGGGCAACCAAACATGATGCGCAAGCAGAACCACCATTGCAATGCGTCCCTCTAAAGTGCAGCTTGCTTTGCTGTGATTCGCAGCTGCGCTCTTCCTTTGCTTTCTTGACCTACGGGCTTAGTGATTGGGAGGTTTGCCTTGGAGTTGTTTTTTTCCTATGGGTGTGTATGACTTTCTGGGGAGGAAACTCAAGTTTGCGCGGATGTACTGGACATATTGCCTCCACTTTGTCAGTGAGCGGTAACTAGTGACGACCCCCCCCTCTCTCGCTGGTTCTACCATTACTGCAACTTGCAGGGATTATTTGGCTTGCAAGAGATGACTTGTCTGCTCCTTTTGGGCTCTCCAGACAGTTTAGTAGCAACATTAGCAGCAAGAACAACAGAGACACTGTCAGGATCAATTGCAGCTTGTTCAGCTTCACCAGGATTTCGGTCACCAAGCCAAGCCGCATCTTTTATGTCAGCCTATTCTGCCAAAGTGGTGTATGGAGCAGCAAGTCGGAAGCTCTGACGGGTCGTGCTGCATTCTGACAGATACTACTTGCAGGGCCGGGTGTGAATTTGGCATAGCCTCAGGCAGTGGATTTGCTCAACAGTTCGAGGACCGCGGCTAAGTTGCGAGCGCGTGCCACCGCTTTCCGGCCGCAAAAAACTTAGGCTCGGAAGCGGACGTCCACGCCCCGAAGGCGGCCTGCGGATGAGCGCCTGACCCGTGCGCGGCGCGGGACTCAGGCGAGTTGGGCCAATCGGCAAGTCTCAAAGCGTCGCTCAGGGCCAAACGAGAAGGAGGACTAAGGGTGTGCCTCATGTGTGCCACTGCTTGAGCCACTGGCGCGCATCGCTGCTGGCATATGTGTTGGAGCGTTGGAAACAACACGCAACACAGTCAAAAAAGACCTGCGCTTGAACATCGATTCGAAGCTTGACAGAATCATTAGGATGGTGGGGATACACTCATTTTTAGCCTGAGCATGCAAATCAAGTTTGGATCACACAGGCCGAACCCTCGGCCAAGTGCCCCCAATGAAGTTGGCCAAATCTGGCAAGCACAAACAGCTCAACAGATACTCGGCGAAATGTGTGAAAGAGCCTTTGCAGCGAAGCCGGGACACAGGCTTCAACATCACCCTGATTGCCATCTTGGAAGCTGTCAAACTTGTATGGGGGAACCGAGGGGATCACCAGGCACCGGTGGCGTTCACTGGCCCTGAAAACGTGCCAGGTTCCTGAGTGGGTCTTCTGTAAGCTTTTCAGACTCCGGGATAGTGCTGTGTTCAGGACCTGAGCCAGAGCATGCCCATCTGCCAGCAACTCAAAACGCGGTTGCCTGTCCATGACTGCTTGCAATTCACCATGCGGCCTGATCAAAGTATTGTTTATCCTTCATCTAGGCACCTAGGAGGCTCATTCTGCATTGACAAAACCTCCCGCATCCCAAGATTTCAGGCTTCATGTTTGCAGCCGAAGTTCGGGCACTCTGCAAGAGCTCTCGAAGCCGGGGCCAAGCGAGCGGCTGGTTTGCGGTAAGGCATGCGAGCCGTCCAAAGCACGACGAGCTGGCCAGGGCACCGAAGTCTCTGCATGATTCCAGGCGCGCGAAACGAAGAACCCTTATGGTATGCCAGTGCTTGCCAGGCCTTCCCAGCCGGATGTGCGGCCAGAGCCGCCACCGCGCCCCACCACGTGCTGGCCCCTCAGCATGTTGGATTTGTCTGATGGGCCCTGAAACTGAGGCCTTGCATGAACAGAGGAGGTGATGGGGCCAGCATCTCAGTGCAAAGCCTTCAGCCTTCGGACGGAAACTGGAGGCTTCCGACATGCAAATCCACACAGCCCCAAGAGCATGGAAGGATGGATGGCAGACTGAACTGCTGAACCCGGAGTTTGAAATCTGGTTGCTTGGGGTGTGTGGGGTGCCAGTAAAGCGGGAGCAGCTGGCAGTCACAGTTTGGGTTGCTGGTGCGGTGTGTTGGTGATAGTTTTGGGAGCAACTGTCAGCTTTATTTGCTCAAAAAAATCCAAATCCAGGAATAAGCCCAATGCAGTCCTATCAGCAACAATCCAAACCAACACATTGAGTGGACTCCAAGTTTTCAGAACCCTTCAGACCAACCTCTAGCAGCTGAAGTAGCTGAAAGCTACATTGGGCAGACATGGGCACGGGCGATGGGGAAAAATGGGGGCAGACCTCGAAGCCCTCCAAACCCCAATCCCAATACCTGGAACGGAGGCTGTGAATCTGTCAAAAATTGCAGCGAGTTGATCTCTGTGTGCCTGTGGTTTTTGTTTTCGTGTGGGGCGAACTGCATGCTGGCTTTAGGCGAGCTATCTTTGCAGCTGGGATGCTTGCTTGCTTGCTTGCTTGCTTGCTTGCTTGCTTGCTTGCTTGCTTGCTTGCTTGCTTGCTTGCTTGCTTGCTTGCTTGGCTAAATTGTCTTGCATGGTGTTGCAGTTGTAGGTGAGTCGTGGGACAAGAAGCTAGTCCATTGGAGCTTGGCTATTTGGGACCTACGCCGGTGCCGGTCGTTGCGTATTGTCCAGAGGGCAAGAAACCAAAGTTGCAAAGGGGACGAATTGCATTTTGCGAAACTAAAAGGGCCGAGGGCACGGCGAGCGGCTAGGTCCGACGAAAGAGGATAAGCTCAGCTGGAAGGCGAATCTCTGTCGGGGTCTGCAGCTCTCGGCGAATCCTGTCAGCTGCAGGCCTGGAAATGCAAGGCCCTCGTCCGGAAGCGCAGGGGCCCAAGCGACTTGAATGATTCATACGATTCGTCCGTCCACTCCTCTGGGATGAGGTTGGCGTGCGCATGAATCAGCTGGAAAGCGCCCTGGCAGCATGGCGACGCCGTGCAGCCGATCGACCGAGTATCCCAGAGGCCGTCTCCTGGGGCATCGCACTGGAAACGAGGCGTGTGTGGCGATTGCGTTGGCGAGAAATCTGTCCGTGGGCTTTTCGCAAGGAGCGACCGGTGGCCCCGACAGCCCGAAAGGCGCCCTGAAGCATGTCCCAAGGCACTGATCTCGGCCGCTGTCAGGATGCACCAGATCATGGCTTCCGGCAACGGTTCCGACCTCTGGCACAGAAGTGCGTGCCACTATTTCTTTGGATCTTGTGAAAGTGAAGGAAGACGGCAACGAACGTTGCGCTGAGGCCAGCCTCTTCTGGCACCCGAGCACAGCCGAACATGGTGACGTGCTCAGACTTCGTGGCAGTAGTTTTGTTTAGCTGACACAAAGCCATATCATGCAATGAGGGCACTTTGCATTCAACTACATGCCTTTTGATCTTTGCAAGTCAAACATGCAAGCACTTCGTGCGGGATACTGAGCAAAGCGGGTGACAAGTCCCTTTTGAAGCCGAGGCGTGTATACCTTCAACGCTGATTCAGGAGGCTTGCGCGCGCCTGCACTGCCGATCTTCACATTTTGGGTTGCAGGCCATGGAGATGTGCAGGCAGTCGGCGGCCAGCAGTGTAGCTGGGGCCCGAAGGATTAGGTCTGGACCCGCTGATTTTCGCACCGGAGTCCTTGCCCAAGGCCACAGCATGCAGTGCTGACGGATGCGAGGCTCGGGTGACTCGCCGAAAGAGAAAGCACGATTTGGGCTCAAGGCCGAGCCGATCTCTCCGGCTCTGTCACCCCCACCGGACCAGCTCGAGAGGCGCGGGGCGCAGCGCGTTTTTTCCTGGGAAATGCCGCGCCGGGATTCGAGGCCACCGGCGCCAACGCCCGAGCAGACCAATCATTGGCTGCAGGTGTGATGCTTTCCGCGTGTGATTGCAGTGAGTTGAGCTTTTCAAGGTTGCCTTGGCTTTGAAGCGAGTCGTTCGAAGTTTCTTCTGGTTTCAGATGAACATGAAGCTTTCGGGATGGTGTGTGCAGGGCATGGAGCACTCGGACAAAGAGCCAGCCAGAGAGGCAGGTTTGCCTTTTCCAGAACTTTGGGCGAACTCAAAGCCGAGACACACGTTGCATCTTTTCTTCTGCCGTGCAGTCTCTTCAAGTTTCTCCCCGCTCGCACTGGGTGTGCCTCGGATCAAGTTGCGTCTGGACGCACGATGCTGTTCGATCCCACGGCCCCAGGCGGCCCCGCAGCCCAACCCCGACCAAGATGCTGGCCTGGGGTGAAGAGGACACGCCGCCGCAGTCACAAGCACAGGGACCGCGGGACAGCACGGAGCACAGTGGGTGCAAGGACACCCCGACAGTAGAATGTGCGACAAGATCGTGCCCCTTCTTACTGAATGTCGACTTTTTTGTGAGCTGATACTCCAATCGGATGCTCTTTGCGTAGTTATGACTTACCTTGTCTTAGGGCCTTTCACACACGTGAGGTACGGATCTCCCAGTGACGACGACGCCTTTGCCAGAGGCCATGAGATTCCCGAGACTTGGTTTGCTTCTCGCACGCGCGGTCACAGGCGATCATTCCGATGGCATCATCAACAGATTGATTGAAGCCGGGCTGAGGAATACTCGACTCAAAGGTGAGCTTGTCTTTCCAAGGCCTGTCAAATGGATGATGTACGTCGGGCGTTTGCTCTCTACGACAGGTTCGAGCTGCATTTGTCTTGCACTGGGACAAACGACTTCTGCAGGCTAAGGAAGATGCACCAGCCGCTTTATGAAGGGGTGGCTGGTCTCAGTGTGTGCAAAGGGGTGTAAGCAAATTGCCGTGAAATGCGTCTTTGTGGGTGTGTTCACTGTATCCTCTTCAGGTCTACAAGCTCATCATTGAGCCGTTGCCCCAAGCGTTCAATGCCGCAGGCACGGTTCTCCGTTGGATTGGTGCAAGGTGCTGCATGAGAACTCATCAGCTCGGCCTCGGCATTCAGCTCGGGGCCAAATGCCAGTGAATTGTTGGTCCAAGAGGCAAGTTTTTTCAAGGCTCTACGAAACCTTGAAAAGCCACGCGCCTAGCTGACGTAGCTTTCGCTTGTGTTCCAGATGGTTGAGGGGGCCGCAAGGCGGCCGGGGTGGCCTGAGTTGGCTAGGATCCCGGGTCCAGATCCGAGGTTCCGGCCAGCGCGTCTCTGCCCGACTCGTCATCGTGCTCATGGAGGCGAGTCGGGGACGAAGAAAGATCAGATGAAACGCGACGGATGAAATCAGACGAACGTTCCATATTCATCATTTGTGAGAGGCACAAAAAATGACAACATGATGCAAATTGCCAGGGCTGCGATGATGCTATTGAGTGGCGTTGAGTGAGTGCCGCCGTGCCGCGTGCGTAGTGCCGAGTGAGTGGGTCAGGCCTGCGCCAGGGAGCAGCACAGCGACAAGGTGCATGCGCTGTGGAACGCCCTGGGCCAAGCTGCCCCGCGCGACTTCGCGCGCGCCTTCGCGCGCTTTCCGCTTTCCGACGCTTTCCGACGGCCGCCCGAGGATTGGTGTCCTCCCAGTGAGACGTTGGGCGCTGGCCATCGGGAGGTGCTGCTGGTGGCCTTGGCTGCGCTGTGCCTTGGCCTAAGCGCTTCGGCGCTTCGCGGAACTCAGGTGTACTTGGGTAACTCGTTTGGGCAACTCATTTGGCGCATGTTGGGTATGGTCAAACAGGAATCCACCATCAGACCGCAGGCTTCAGTCTTGGTTTCCATGAACCTGGGTTGCATTTGAAGTGCCCATTTTCGACCCACACCCCAAATATGGGTTGGAAGTTTGTTGCAGGATCCGGACGGGGAGCGCAGACCTGGCGCTGGAGCTGCTGCACGACGCCGTGCAGAGGCTGGACCGCTTCGCCTGGGTGGATCTCAAGCCGCAGGCGCCTTCCACAGCTCTGCCGTGCGACGCTTCGACGTCGGTGCGACGGCGGTGCGACGCTGAGGTGGAGGATCTGCGTCAGCTCGTGGAAGGCGCTGCAGGCGCGGCGCCTGCGCCTCGCTCCTCCGCAATCGCTGATGTCATCGGCGCAGCCAGGTGAGGCGCAGCTAGATGCCGGACTAGGCACGTGGCGTTGTGCTCCTTGTGGCTCCTTGTGGCTCGAAGCTCTGACTCAACGTGGCTGACTTCAGAACATTTTGTGCCAGGAGAGAGTCTCTTAAAAAGCTACCGAAGCCTTCAGGTCCGAGCAACTTTGACTTCTGAGCTCGAAGGGATTTGCTTTTCAGGATCTGCTTCTCCAGATCCTGGATGAGGCAGACACATCATTTGCCAGAGAAAGAGGACGGGGCTATTGGCTCTCAAGGCCGAGTCAAGGCTGATTGCTGCATGTCTTCAAAGGGCTGTCCTACCTTCATTTACCTAATCTCGCCGGATCCTGGAATGCATCATTGACAGCGCCTCGATTTTTCCGTCAGGACGCCTTCTGCTTGCCCAGGAAGCTCCTCAATGCTCCCAAGGCGCTTCTTTAAGCTCTCACCCCGGACATGTCTGACGTCGCCGTTTGGGTGAGGGCCTCGCTGTTTGCAAAATGGGTTCAGGTTTCGGCCAAGATGAGTCCTTGCTGATGGAGGCCATTGCAGTGGGGTTCGTACCAGGCTGGTGCAGCATCCGTGAAAGCTGTGATGGCAGGATGTTGACCTGGATTTGGAGTCCTGCACATAGAGGGAGTTGAAACGGGGTGTGGGAGTTGTGACCCTTGCGTCAAGAATGCATATCTTCACCAGCTCAGATTGCACTGAAGCTCAGGCTAGCTGCCATGTGATTCAGCTCTCCTGTTAATGCTTGCGTGTTTCGGCGCAGTGGTGCTGAACGGGGCACCGTTAGCTTCGGCTGGCCAAATGGGCGAGTCGCTTAACAGCTCGTTTCGCGGAGAGAAAATCGCCTCAATACAGGACGACGTGCTACGCAAGAATCGGCCAAGCCTGCGGCAGGTAACAGGTGGAGCGTGCTAACAATACAATGTGATCATGCTCGGCGTCAATAGTCGATGCTTCGAATGGCATTTGCAAAGGACGCTACTGAAAGAGCCGGAAAAAGAAGAAGAAACAAGCGCCAAAGCCCCGCGCGCACACACACACACACACATACACTGCACAAACACGACGGCAACTTGAGGGTCTTAATTACTTCTTGTCCAAATGCCTCAAGCATCCAGGAGCAGGCGGGCATGTTTGTAGATCCACACATGCGGATGTCAAGGGCGCCCAAATGCCACTGCCGCGACCAAACCGAGAAGGCAATCGCGAAAAGACCAAAAAGGCAATAGATGGCACCGAAACAAACATCATGATTGTGTGTTCACCTTTCCCTTTGCCACACAAGTTCCTCAGCAGCGAGTATGGTTTTCTCTCAAGGCGGTATCTGACCATGAGCATTTCTCAGAGCATCTACAAACGCAAGCACGTCAAGCGAATAGGACAGGATTCAGCCAAGCAGGCCCGGTTCCTGCGATGTCTTGAGTTCACGAAGGCCCTTTCTGTCAAATCTGAAACCGCGGTTTGAGAGCTCGGGCTGTGCCCATCTCTTTGGGTTGACTGAGTGCGCCTGTGTTACTTGGCAACACGTCTACCCGGATTCCGAATGGCACGTGATGGATGACTTGTGTGACTTGCACCTCATCAGCTGGAACGTGGCCGGGCTGAAGACCACGCTGGAGCAGCTGCGGCGCTTCGGCTTCGCGGGCTTCCTGAAACGGCACCGCGCGGACGTGCTGTGCCTCCAGGAGGTGAAGCTGAGCTCCAAGGCGAGCGCGCAAAAATCCGGGGATCGATGACTCGGTTAGTACTTAAGCAGCCAGAAATCCAGAAGTTGCGGACCTCCTTCTGAATTCTTGAAGCATGGTTCTGGGACGACCATTTGAATACCGGGTGATTGTGACTCAGGCGCTGTCGGCCGGAGGAGGCCGGCAGTTCGACGTGGAGGGCTTCGAGAGCTTCTGGTGCTGCAACGACGGGCTGGGCAGCCAGCGCCAGGGCCTGAACGGGGTCTGCACCTTCGCGCGCGCGGGCCTGGTGCTCCACGCGGACAATGCGCCGCTGGGCTGCGAAGAGCTGGACGGAGAGGGCAGGTGCCTGCTGACGGATCACGGCGCCTTTGTGGTCTTCAACGTCTACGTGCCTTCCGCTCAAATCTCAAGGTGTGTCCGGCAGTTCCGGCGGTTCTCTTTTTCCTTTTTTCATCCACGGGTCGTTCTTTGGATCGTCTCTCGGAGTCTCCGTGTCAGAGTCTGTTGTAAGGTGCCCAACAGCGCGGGGGGCCGGCTGCCCTACAAGCTCCGGTGGCTGCGGGCCCTGCGCCACGCCATGTGGCGGGAGCGGTCCAAGGGCAAGGCGGTGCTGCTGGCCGGGGACCTCAACCTGAAACACCGGGTCCTCGACAGCCACTGGACCTGCCTCGGCGTCAGGCCAGAAGCGCCTCGAAGACCGCGGAAACTTCGACGACCGCGGCTTTTTCTTGTTTCCATTGCTTTCCAACCTGCTTTTTCTTGGGCCAGACTTCTTCTTCTTTCCACCTTCCACTTCTGTGCTTGGCCAGGCCAGCGGTGCTGGACCTCGCAGACGCCCCGGAGGAGGTGCGGCAGCAGCTGGCGCGCTGGGAGCAGCTCTTCGCGGCGCTGCGGCAGAAGTGGGTGGAGCCGCTGGAGACGCGGAACAGCCGCAACGGCCAGACCTTCCAAAAGTTCGGCGTCTGGGCCCAGCCTCTGCCGCCGGGGTGCTCTTCTGCTTCCGGTGATGGGCAAAGGGTGCGCCTGGGGCCGCCCGTGGACTCCAAGGAGATGGCCCAGCTCAGCTTCCCGCTGGATGGGGTTGGCGTGGACGAGGATGGGCAGCCGCCGCCTGAGCAGCGAGCCGCAGAGAGAGAGCGAGAACTGATTCTTTTTACGGAGACAGCCGGAGACCCATCCGCTCCTTGCTAGGCTTTTGGTTGCAGTGCCCAACCCTGCCTACGTGCGCTGGCCTGAGCTTTCTGCCTTTGCTGTGCCGACTGCAAATCCTTAGGCTGCGTGAGCCGGGCGAGATCTCTTTGGGGGAGTTGGTCGAAGGCGCAGCTCGACATAGTTTCGCAGCTCTTTGCACAGTCCTATGTCTTCTCTCCGAATGTCGTAAGTGAAGTGTTGCCCGAGCTGGTGTTTTCTCGTTGCCCGGCCTGAAATCTTGACCCTAGGCCTTTGAAAAGTATCAAGCAGGTCACAGTGTACCCGTGCTGCAAATTAGCAATCACCATTTTTGTTAACTGAGAGAGTGCTTGTTGCAGTTCGTGCTGCCGAGTACGTGTATTCGCTTTCCATGGGGGTTGTTCAATCGTGCACTGCGTAGCGACTGTTCATTGAGGCCCGACTTTCTTGTGCCATAATGTGTTTTGCATCATCTCACAACTCAAGGGCAATAGCGACCTTGGACGAGCGTTTGCCTCCCGGCAAAGCCCGCACGCAGTACTTGTCTTTGCTTTGTGCTCCACTTTCACGCAGGAGGGCAAGCACAGGAGTTGTCTTTTTGCCTACATGTTGCGAGTTGGAACACCAACGTTCTCAATATTGGCTGTGCATCCTTGTGCCTCAAGCTTCAACAACAAATTTGTTGAGATGCTGGGTTGCACTCAACCAACCAACAAACGAACTCTAGGAGAACACATCATTCACCCATGGCAAAGCACCAAGGCCTTTTGCACGCTGGCTCCAGCAATTAGACCCGCGTTGGCCCCAAACGTAACGGGCGGGGTTTGGTTGGCAAAACGAGTCGACCCTGCGGATTTGGGAGCATCTCTGTTTCAACAAACTTGACATGAAGCCAGGCTTCAAGAAATTGGCTGGAGCTGAGCTCAGTATCAGAGTCAGATTTTCTAGCGGCCACATTCAAAGGCACAGAATTCTTCCAGATATTCTAGAATATTTGGCCCGCAGTCCCCGCTAATTACCAATCTGAGGTGTTGAGGTCAGTCCGTTGACCAAGCAATGGCTCGCCTGGGGCCTGGGCGTTTTGCAGTGAGGCAGGCCTTTTGTCTTTTCGAGTCGCTAGTGCCAGAGGTACTTCTTAACTGACGCGCTGGCATGCCTGGTTGGCTCAAGGTTACATGGGGTGAGGCGGCGCTTGCCCGCTGCGATGCCAAACCCAGCACAACTCGGGCGTTTGTCACTACGATGCTTTTATACATTATTTTAGCAGGTATGGCCCACATGCACAAGCAGTTGTTTTTGGTTTTCCAAAGGCAAAGCCGCCTCCTGATAGTGTTGCTACGGCGAGTGATGCGGGCGCAATGGTGCCTGCATTTGCTGCTGTCAGTCTCTGAGCCAGCAGCATTGGGTTGAATGTGAGGCCGTCAGCTCAGGTGGACCGCTTTGGCAAATGATGCCGTCTGGAGGCACGACACTCGCGCTCCAGTCGGAGAATCGAAGTGACCTCCGTCAGGCGGTTTACGGATGTGGGAGATGCTCCGTCGGCCCGGCAATGGGCGGGCGCGATCTATTCGCCAGGGTCCAAGACCTCGACCCGGCGGTCACCCAAGCAGATGAACTGACTTGGACACATGTTTCTTGCCTTGCCAGGGCAACCAGATCGAAGATCTACACGTTTGCCGGCGGTGGCTCAGGCCATTTGCAAGATGCTGAAATCACGGGTTGTCATGAGTGTACCTTTCGCTTTTGCCGACCAGACTCATTCTCGACGGACGGCAACCATGGGGACCTGCTTGAGTATGATGTGACTGCCTCAGCAAGCCGCGCAGCTTTCTCTTGCCCTCATAGCTGCTTTCTGCGTGTCGCAGGTGAGCGCAAATACATGGACCGACATTACCCCGGCCAATAGACCTACGAACAGGCAGAACTCATGTCTTGCCAATGAGAGACTTTTCCCCGGACTTGCGGAGGCATGCCTTCGGAATGGCCCACGATAACTCTGTGACTCCGATTGAGCATTCCGTGTTTGAATCCGTGACAGCATGATTCATTGCTTTGTCGAGGATGGCATCTGGATCTTCGGCGGCATCACGACCTACGGAATGATGCATGATTTGTGTCTGATTTGCACAGAAGCGTCAGAACAATCGACATGTGAGCTTCAGAATTCGGCTTTCATATCTGAGGCACTTTTATGATATCCCTTCAAATACATTCTACAACCTTTCCAATGGGGAAGGAGCAGGAGCTCCATCCGGCACAGGCCCACAAGAAAAGGTGGGGCGGCCATTGCGAGACTTGACTCTGCGAAATGGTTCTCAAGAGAGACCGCAAGATTGCGCTATTTATTTTTCCTGCTGAAGTGTTTGTTTGCATCCCAGACAAACCAAGAGTCTGTTTGCTTGTTCCCGTGTCAGGCCTGGCCGCACCTGGTCTATGCCGACTCGGGCGGATCTGCGCGGCTCTTCGCGTTTGGCGGCTGGACGAGCTATGATCTTGCCAGCCCATCTGTCAGCGCCACGGCAGAGTCTCAGAGAGGCGTTCTCACCTCGTGAGCTCGGGGGGTTGCCAAGGGCCCGCTGAGCTGAGGCAATGACTTCTTTTCCTATAGCATCGCCAGCTGCATGGCTTTCAGTTCATTCACGTTTAGGCAGATCTGGAATGAGGATCCTGCGAACATGCCAATGTTGCGCACTCAGTTTTGTAGTGTTTCGCTGAGGCAACGCGTGGACGCAGCACAGTTTAGCCACGTTGCCCCACGCGCGCACGTCTGGAGGCAGGTTTTCGGCGCAGGGTGTGGGGTCTGAGGACTGGTTGAGTGTAGCGATCTTTCCAGCCTGAGGCATAGTCTTCGTCCAGGCATCAGATGGAGATGCCCGCTTGCATTCTGGGGCCAGCTTTTTTTCGTGGGTGCGGACGGCAACATCCCATGTGTGCTGCAAAGCACGCGAGGCCTTACGTTTTTTTTTTGGGCGGGATGCT